AGCGGAAGTAATAGTCTGATGAAGCGATCCGTTATTCGTCTTTCTCAAATGTCAAATCTGTAGAAGCATCTGATTATGTGTGAACAGCTGCTTACTGGTACAGTTACTTTTCTACGACATAAAATAAACATTATTTTTACTGAAATATATTTAGTACATTTGATATGTTTAGTAAGAAAGATCGAATTACCATTTCTAAATACGTTAACGCTATAAACCGGGTTTCGATACCCGTGGTGGGCAGAGCACAGATAGCCCATTGTGTAGCTTTGTGCTTAATTACAAACAAACAAACTTTTAAATACGTACGTCGACGGAAATTATCACGATGTATCACACTAGTGTATTTATTTTTGATATGAAATTAGCTTATATTTCCAGAACATTATCTTAAACTTAAATATTTTTGATCTGTTAATGTTGCACAACCAGCTCCGACTTATTTTACATGTTTTTTTTTGTTTGCTTTAGTTTTAATGGACGATCTCAAAACTTTTCTTGTATGTTTGAACTTAACCACTCCGAATAGAAATGAAGAGAAAAGTCGATTGGATGAATAGAATTCAAGAAGCAGTTAGTATAATTTCGGCTATGACTGCATATCCGGCGGAATGACAAGCTAATGCTAAAGAAGCCTCGGTATTAGTCTAATAAACGTAATTTATTCTGATACGGACACCGTTAACTATGTTGTTATTTTTTTCATTGTGTCAGTTCTGTATTTTCAAGGTTCGTGTCAAAACGGATTAAAATATATAACTAAAGGCTAAATAAGAAGACATCTTCAAGTAACCAGAACAAGAATAATAACAGAAGCGTAACAAACCCTATGTAAACTATTGTATGCAGATTACCCTATTTGATCTGCGCGTAGGATGTTTTAACTAAACAATACTGAACTGTCTTTAAAAAAAATCAAAGCTTATTTAGGCTACTTACCTCTCGCTTAATTGACGTGACGACAGTGTAATTAATGTAAACCAAATGCATCGTTACTGCTAATCTGCTCATCATTTATTCCAGAATTAGTATATTGCATTTCTATATTATTTAACGTAATACATAGATAAAATAAGTGAGAGTTTTGATTTCTAGTCAGTAATGTTCTGAAAACAGAGGGGGACGTTTTTGTAGAGAACGAGATATTGTTTCTTCAAGTACGTGAACTTGAAAGTCACTCAGATTGAAACATGATATTTCCTGAGCACCTGAGTGAAAATAGAATATTGTGGTCGATTCTATAATTCACATTTATCCTATAGGTTTTTGTTTTACCTAATCCCCCAAATTCATGAAACATAATAAAGACAATCTAAGTACTTCTATAACCAGTTTTGTGGTTTAAAATTTGATAACCATCACGTAGTTAATACGGAACTTGCTTATGACACGTAATACACTTTAAGTTACGTTTCTACTGTTTTATGATACTAGTTAGAAACGTTCTTTGAAAATATTGGTTTTAAATCTAGTTTGGTTAAATAATCTTAAAATCTATTGTTGCTTGAAGTTTCACGTGCAATTAGAAGTTATTTTGTTGTGTTACATGCTAATTATTGTAGAAATATGCAATAATTTTGATGAAAAAATCAAGCAAATTTTTATCTCTGCCACATGTTTATTAAGATTTAACACCTTCATTGCTAAGTTTATAGAAAAATAACTTCCAGGTTTATTTATAATACACAGTAAAATACAGAGTTATGTTTTAATGTTTCATCACTTACCTGAAAATTCAAATTAGTATATTTTTGAAAAGTTTGAAGGGGAATTCTCTTTCTTCGTGGTGGTACAAAGTTCCAAAATCAAAAATGATTAATATCACTTTTTCAAGGTTAAAACCAAGGTTATATAGTGTTTCCCATGTACGTGGCAGTGCTTTAGACGAAGATGCAATTCAAAAGAAAAAATTCTTGAGCATATTAAACTATGTGGTGCCATCTGTTGTATGGTACATTTATTAATTGTTAAATTAACTAATTGTCTTCAGGATATGATACTTAAAAAAACATTCGTCAAGCATTTGTCTTATTCAGTTGCTAACCGACAAACGAAAATTCTAAAAATATAAAGCTTTAATGCATATATGAATACAGTGTAACATTTTATTACATGGTAAATCATCTTTATATAAACACATAGAAACGGAAATGATTTTCAATAAAAAGTTGAAACACCGTACGGAATGGCCACAATATAGCATGGCCTGAAATACGTGAAACATGAGAATAACATCTTCTATGTATTGTATCTTACTCTTAATGTTATAGGGGAAAATTGTTATGATTGATAATAATAAATATACCAATAAACATTCAACGACTGTTACTATCTTACTCATTTGTTTATGTACTAAAGTGTTTATTGTTTTAGTTATATCCTAAAGCACTGGAAATGTGGTAGCTCCAAATCATTCTATGAGATAACGAAAATGAATCTAGGTAATAGAGACAATGAGAAAAATCAATCGAAAAAAAAAAGACAAAGAAGATTACACAAGTAATTTTGTTTGTTTGTTTTGAATTTCGCGCAAAGCTACACGAGGGCTATTTGCGCTCACCGTTCCTAATTTAGCAGTGTAAGACTAGAGGGAAGGCAGCTAGTCATCACCACTCACCGCCAACTCGTGGGCTACTCTTTTACCAACGGATAGTGGGATTGACCGTCACATTATAACACCCCTCGGCTGAAAGGGGCGAGCATGTTTGGTGTGACGGGGATTCGAACCCACGACCCTCAGATTGCGAGTCGAGTGCCCTAACCACCTGACCATACCGGGCCCACAAATAGGTTAAAAAGGTCACAAAAGTATCAATAACAGTTAAACCAAGCAAATATTGCGTATTTACGTACTATTAATTCATAACAAGGTTTACGCAAATATGTGACAATAAAAAAAAGTAAAATTCTTATTTTGGATTTTGTCATTTTATACCATTCTTACAATATAGGACTTTTTTTTACCTGTTTGTGTAATTTTCTTTGTCTATTTTTCGATTCACTTTTTTCTATTGTCTTTTTTCGTTGTTTTTTTTACCCTTGTCTTTATTACCGCTATTGAATGAAAATACAGCTGCTCTAACAGCACTGTAATGTATTCAAGATTTACGTGTTCCTACTGTAATCTTTGATACTGTATATAGATTTCCTCGTACTGTATTCTGAAATACCAAATATATATTTGTTTCTGTTCTGTTCTGTACTAGAGATACATTTGTTCCCACTGTATTATGAGACATAGTTGATATATTTGCTCCAACTGTATTCTGTAAATAGAGTGCATTTGCTCGTACTTTATTCAGAGACATTGATGACATATTTTCCTACTGTCTTATGAGACATAGTTGATACATTTGCTCCAACTGTATTCTGTAAATAGAGTGCATTTGCTCGTACTTTATTCGGAGACATTGATGACATATTTTCCTACTGTCTTATGAGATATAGTTGATATATTTGCTCCAACTGTATTCTGTAAATAGAGTGCATTTGCTCGTACTTTATTCAAAGACATTGATGACATATTTTCCTACTGTCTTATGAGACATAGTTGATACATTTGCTCCAACTGTATTCTATAAATAGAGCGCATTTGCTCGTACTTTCAAATGTATCAACTATGTCTCATAAGACAGTAGGAAAAACATGTCATCAATGTCTCCGAATAAAGTACGAGCAAATGCACTCTATTTACAGAATACAGTTGGAGCAAATGTATCAACTATGTCTCATAAGACAGTAGGAAAAACATGTCATCAATGTCTCCGAATAAAGTACGAGCAAATGCACTCTATTTACAGAATACAGTTGTAGCAAATATATCAACTTTGTCTCATAAGACAGTAGGAAAAACATGTCATCAATGTCTCCGAATCTCCAACTGTATTCTGTAAATAGAGTGCATTTGTTCGTACTTTATTCGGAAACATTGATGACATGTTTTGTCTACTGTCTTATGAGACATAGTTGATATATTTGCTCCAACTGTATTCTGTAAATAGAGTGCATTTGTTCGTACTTTATTCGGAGACACTGATGACATAGTTTTCCTACTGTCTTATGAGATATAGGCGATATATTTGCTTGTACTGTATTTTGAGATACTGGCAATGTATTTGTTCCTAGTGTATTCCGAGATGCTGATGATATATTTAATTGTTACTACTTTATGAGCTATAGTCGATATATATTTGCTTTTACTGTATTCTGAGATACCGACGATAAATTTTGGTTTTATTGCATTCTGTTACGTTGTATTGTTATGAAGAGTGACGTAAATATACTGCCCAATTTATATTTCAGGGTTAGTGAATGAAGTATTATCAGCAGGGGTAGGGGTGGGAATAAAGTCCTTTTTGTGTAAATAATTTCGTGTCCACGCAAAGTCAATACATTGTATGAAGAATCCACGGAAAATCAAAGAGATGAAGTCACGTGGTGAAGAAAAAAATGTCTTTTTGCTTGAACTCTTTTCTAAACACATAATTAATTCACCAATTCTCTAGTTATCTCTCTGCGGTATGAGATGTTTGCTATCTGGTTTGCAGTGACATTGTGCAAAGCTGTCTAAGTCTAACCTATAGATAGACTTATTAAACTGTGCTTCTATAGCACATGTATTACTAGCCCTGATGAATCCGCAACGGCGAAACGTTTATTATTATTTTTATGTGTAAAGGTCGTTTTTTCTAACTTTATTTCCAAAATGTCTAAATCTCTCCAGTATGCACTACAATTCCACGGAAACAAATTACCATCAGTTGACCAAATCCACTGTAAGTTATTATGTTTATTTTAGTGTGTGTGTGTGTTTTGTTGTTTTTTTGAGGGGGGGATTGGGGAAGGGAGAAAGGTGAATGTTGAAAAATTATTGAATGGAAATCCATGGCTTTTCCTTTAAAAATAATAGTCGCTTTGATGTCGTGTTTGCCATTGTTTTTGGAAGTTCATATTGCACTTTTATTAATTAACGTACACTGTTACTTTATTTTGTTCTTTAGGAAGTCGGCTGAAGACACGTGGTGTTGGGGTGATTTTTAAGAAGAATTTCCAAGCCGTCGAAATCGCACCACTTCAAGTTTCGATGAAACCACTAGTGGAACCTTTTTCAGTTATCTAACAATTAAGCTTCGTGTACCGCGTTCCACCCTGATCCATCAGTACATAACACGACTTTCCCTGTCGACTGAGCATCCAATAGGGTGACCTTGGGGAGTTTGCTGGCTGCGCAAAAGCAGAGGGTCAAGAAAAAGTGGGCCAGCAGCCAATGTGTCGTAGTTATATGTTCTATTCTTTGTAAGGACATTACCTGTTAGAGTTCTACTACGCAAGTAATGCTTATCGTATCTCCGAGCTTCAAACCAGCTTTTATGAAGGTCAGAAATATTACTCGGAAAAGTAATGAATTCTTATTGGTTGTCGATCTTAAAATTAGGTATATAAAGCATAGAGAGAGAGTAGAATCTACTACATAGCATACTTCAGGTGTTGTCCGTATTGAATTTCCAAGTATTGTACAAAAGTACGTTAAGTTTTATTCATATCAAGGGAACTGGGGAGTATGGATCGAAAAGGGGACTTTTATGATCGAGAGGAAAATGGACCAATAGATCTAAGTATTAAACCTCCCAGAGCAATCTATATAAATAAGTGTGAAACTAAGCCTTTTAGAAACACACATCACTTTAAAGAAACAGAAAAGATGACCAATCATGGCTATCACTCAGGATTAATAGAAAGAGGGTCGAAGATGATGTGCAGGGATAGACTGTCCACTTCAGTTTTACCTTATTCGGTTCAGTCACAAGACACCACTAAAGTAAATTCAAACATTGAAAACATTAAGCTGAATGTGCCTCAAGCTTCTTTTGTCTTGCCGACTGCCAGTATTGGCAACTTTCCTATTGTATGCGATGCTCTAGGAATACGTTATTCCATAACGAATCTTCCTGATGGGCAAAGGTGTCTTCTTCCTTTAGGAAACTCCATCTATAACAATTCTCAAAAGTTAATTTCACTTGAAAATACCGCAAATAAAAGTCAAAATTACCATAGTGAATCTGAGTCGTTTACCTGGTCAAGTGATCCGGTTTGTATGAAAACTCAAAAGGGATGTATTTGTAAGTTGTGTGAAAGAAGACGAAACGTTCACCAGAGTTATTTAAGACCCAATTCCCGCTTTAATAAAAGAAACTCTCACATAGAACAAGAATCTCATCCTTCTAAAAATGTTTCATTTAATGGATCTGCATCTGATATCCCGTTTTCCTCTCTCCGACATTCCATTAGACACAACTCTCAATCGCTTGAATTGCCACCGTTTCTTCAAAACAGTACGAAACATGAAGATTTTTCGGAAGAAGAAGAGTTACCTGAAGATCTTTCACTTAATAAATTACCTCACCGTTTAGAAGAATTTGCTACATTAGCACTGAGCTCGGAGCATTTGCGAACTTTTAATAAACTCAGAAGATCTGCAAGCTTTTGTAATATTTCCAACAGTACTCTAGAGAAAGAACAGGACCACCCTACGGACAGACCAAGAAGGAAGTCAGATAGTGAAACACCAGACTTATCGCCCATTTTTAAAAAAGATTCATCCCATATTCTGCAAGATAGCCATTCCGGCCGAAGCTCTAAGAAAACTCGCATTTTCTCGTCACTTTCTGAGAAGAATAAGTGCCTTGTTTCAAAACAAGAAAGGCTAAACATTCCCAAACCCTTACAAAGTTTGCAAGCTTCTGTAACAGAAATGGGTTATCATCCAGCAAATGTCGAAAATGACGAAGAAGATTCTTTAAACCCCTTTAAGGCCCGTTCTTCTCTAAAGTCTATGAAAGTTGCATCGCCTGTAACTCTTTCTAAAAAAGATACCTTTTTGGAGCAGCTGCGTCAAATAGCGCCGACCGGTTACCCTTGGAATGTGTATGGCTATTATACCCATCTTATGCAGCTGTGTCATAACCACGAAGCCTTAAAAAAATACATTGATTTATCTATGGGGGCCATAGCCGGTACACCAGCCGAATTTGTAAGCTCCTTTTCTTCACCATCTTCACCTGCTCCCACACCACAGCCCTTGACTGCAAGTTTCCCCATGCAGGATAATTCACCACTGAGTGAGGTGAACGGCAGTGTTAAAAAACAGCCCACCAGAGCCTTAACGGGCAAACACGTGAAATACGGAACCGGCGCTAGTCCCTCAACGTTGCTTACTCTTCGACAAAAAATCCAAGAACGACAAAGAGCAAAGGAACTCGCTGTACAAGGTGAGGTTATTTCAAATGGCAAGACTGTTGAAGTTCGCAAAAAACGTAACCGACCGGTTCTATCCAAAGGTTCTGTTAAACGTAACCGGCAACAGAAAACCAAAAGTATTTCAAAGTTTGAAACTTAAAATAAGTGATTTCCTAATAATGTGATATTTATAACTTGGTGAAAAAAAAAAAGAAGAAACAGTTTTTAAGTATTTAATGCATTCCAATCATCATTGTATTTAACATGCCTAGTGCAGTTGTCACTGAAACTATTTTTGCAGAGGGACAAATGGAACTATTTTATTGACTTTGACGAAAACAAAATCAAGGTTTATTATTCAATTCAGTTTTTGGAATATAAAGGTGTTTGTAACACTTAAATAAAACTACGTATTTTTATTTTACTTTGTCTAGAGTCTCGTCTAAAAATACATACGCATGTTATGGAATATTTATCACTATTTGTAAAATGTTTCAACAATGTATTCGTTGTCATAGAAGAAAGGTCATCTTTGCTCAGTTTTCAGGGAATATATTCCTAAATTTGTTTTCATATATATGTTTTGAGCACAAGTTGTAATTTTTTTAATGTTTTTATACAAGTTTAAACATATTCTGATATTGTGTTTGTACGTAATGACTTATATTTAAGGTATTTTTATGCATTTTAAGAATACAATCTCTAGCAGAAGATTTTTCGTGGTGACCACACACATATTTCGACATAGAAGTGCATTTGAGAAATATTCAGTGGTTCATACACGTAACATTGCCTAATGTATTTGTGCGTGTGTAAGTGTTAAATAAAATACAGAAATTAAGTATATCTACAACGTTTCGGTAATTCTTTACCCATCTGTTACTTGAGTATTTTCTTGTGTAGAAAATTAACGTTGAAAAATATGGCCAGAATTTTCAAAAAAAAATACCTTTTATTATTTTCACTTATAATGTTAGAAATTTAAACAATATAATGTATAAATAAGGCGATTTATTCAAATGGGTCTTCCCTAATTTTTCCAAACAAAATAAAGAAACAACGAAACTTTCATAACAAATTAACTTTGTGAAAACTATCTTCAAGCTAGCTTTTATATATCTTTTGAATATTGACTATAATGAAATCACATTTGACGAACTTGTTGCTGTCTTAAGATAAAGAGGATGTCCTTATTTAATTTCTATGATGCATATTGGTGTATAAAAGACATTTTAATACTAGAAGTAAACGACCTTATAACACCAAAATTGTTGTTATAAGGTCGTTTATTTGTAGTATTAAGAGGATATCTCGGAGTAAGATTTATGAAAAAGATTTTCCAATTTGGAAAGAGATTGTTGAGTTAAATCTCTCAGATATGAGTGTTTGTCGTCCTCTACGGTGTATGTTATGTTGTGTGTTGAACTTTTTTTATCATTGTATTATCATATAATAAAAGTATAATCTGATAATTTTTCCCCACTTTCTTTGTTTTCATAAAACTTGGTTAGATATTGTCCAAGAAATTAATAAGTTCATAAGTTTGATTGACACTATAAAATTTTCAGTTTCTATGTAAGCAGCGTCATGTAGAACTTCGACACATCAAAATACCGAGAAGTAAGAAATGCGGTGATTCAAGGATTGTTAGACCAAGGACTGTTTTTCTTCAGTTTAACGGATAGATGACACTTATTAAAAGGACATTGTAACAATGAAATTAGGTCGTGCATTCTCCAATAGAAGAAGCAAGCTTCGAACGGAATATTGAAACTTTGAATTAACTTTTCTTGCTTGTCAATTTAGAGGATTCGAATTTTTTGTTTAAGCTTTATACAGATCGAACAGTAAATATTTCATAACAAATATTACTAGTTCTCTTGCCCTGTTATCAAAGGATGGCGAAGACAAACTGTAGAGAAAAAAAAACAGCTTGCACGTCGAAACACAGACATTTCTAACATATATGCAGTCTATAACGACTTGATCATAACCATTGGAAAGGTGTTCATGGATATCACCAGTTGATTTATTATAAACATGCCTGCTAAGATGTCTTGTCTATTGATTCCTGCCTTGATCAAAACCATTGGAAAAACGTTCATTGTTCCTGGATCTCACCAGTTGATTTATTATAAGGATGCCTGCCGAGGTGTCTTGTCCATTGATTCCTGACCTTCACATATTGAGACAACCTTATAATTACTAACCAAATTAGATTAAGTCACGTTTTTTTTTTAATTCAACAAACTTCCTTACTGAATGAAAGCGAAAGGAGTAATCTTCATTGCCTACAAGTATTTCCGGGCGTGTACATGCAACATAGATATGTGAATAGTAAGTTGCCACTAAGGAAAAAAAATATTTTCTGTAATCATTACCACTTAGGATTGCCCATATTCCAAAATGACTGAATGATGCTGATAGGTGGTTGGTGTGATATTAGATCAGATTCAAATTGATAATTTTAATCTGATAGGTGGTTGGTGTGATATTAGATCAGATTCAAATTGATAATTTTAATCTGATAGGTGGTTGGTGTGATATTAGATCAGATTCAAATTGATAATTTTAATCTGATAGGTGGTTGGTGTGATATTAAATCAGATTCAAATTGATAATTTTAATCATCTTTCTGTGTATATATTCTGATCCAACGAACTGCGATTAATTGATTGATGTGAATCTATCTCGTATCCGATATGACAAGGTTCGTTACCTTGCTATTAAAAACAATATTTTCGTACATTAACAACTGATAATTCAGTGGACATCGCTCGTGACATGGTTTTGTTAGTCGAAATACACATGCCATTCAATACTGAAAAAAAAAATCTTTATTGTTATTCTAGCAAAGTTCATCTACCTATAGTCCTATGAAATCCGTATGCAATATTTATGAACTCTGCGTGTAATATGATATATCTACTACTCATCTTTAAAGTTCAGAGCTTACAACACTGTATGTACAATATATTTGTTTTTAGCACTATCGTATTACCTGCTGATAACATCTTAACCTTGATACGTTGACAGACAATGGGCACTGTTAATAATGACATATACGGAGACAAATATAGAGCACAATATAACTAAAGTTCAAGTCCATCAAAACTAATGCCACACTTGTTTTTTTTTCCTCTCTTTCAGGTTAAGTGTAAACAAGGTAGTTTATCTCGTAACCGCCAGGTTCCTGTATATCGAAAGTAACAACAAGAATAAGACATAATGCATATCTATTTATATTAAGTTTTTATAAAATAGTAAACGAATGCAAACTTAGACAAATACATAACTATATACATTTTGTTTTTTGAATCGCAAACTCACAACATGATTGGTTATTTGGAAAATTGTATCAAAAACTGCGACATTTCTCGAGGTAAATAAATCAATATTAACTTGCAATCAGAGCGAGCAATCTGGCCTACTTAGATTAAAACTAAACATCAATCCGGTAATGAGCATAGCTAATTAAATATATGTTTCTTACTTACAAATATTAAATGCGTTGTTTCGTTAGTTGGGTAACCTTAAGAGCGAGCAGCCGGGCCTACTTAGATTAAAACTAAACATCAATTCGGTAATGAGCATAGCTAATTAAATATATGTTTCTTAATTACAAAGATTAAATGCGTTGTTTCGTTAGTTGGGTAACCTTAACTGTTAAGGGTATTTTTGGCCGTAAACACACTAAAATAATTATGTTTCATTAGTGCAAGTTCCCGGATGTTTAGCATCGGAGCCGAAAATATATAAGAAAGGTAGAATGTATTCTTAATGTAAAGCTCGTATACTATAATTACCATTTCGAAAGGTATATGATTGTCATGAGTTAATAGCCGCACTTCACATAGCTACTCAATGGGCTATCTGTGCCCTGCCAACTGCGTGTATCCAAACCCCATTTTTAACCTAAAAACCATCAGACTTACTGCTGAGCCATTGACAGGGGCATGAAATAGACTATTATTTATTTAATATACACTGTAGACAAAAAAAACGTAAACATCTTTAGAACAGAAATAGAATTGTGATGAAAATGAAATCCGGTTTACAATAAAAAATATCCGATAAGGCAGATGATGAAATGAGAAACAAAGAAAATTTGCTGGTTTTTAAATTTCGTGCAGAGCTACACAAGGGCTACCTGCGCAAAGTCGTATTAAATTTTGAACTGATAGGCTAGACAAGAAGGCAGCTAGTTAACAGCGCCAACCGCCAACTATTGTCTCATCTAATAGTGGGATTTGACCGTCACTCTTATACATCCCAAAATGTGGAGTGAATTTATTCAGAAGGGGGTCGACAACCAAGGACACCTGACTTTACACTCCAAGCATGCTAACTAATAACAACGCCCCGCCTTAAATATAGAGAAACAGAAATTGTTAAACGAATTTTAACTGAATATTGTAATCTCACATCAATTTCTTCCTTCAAACAAATTATACGTTATACAATGATACTATGTGTAATATATCAAAAGAGTTTATTTAGGAAAAAATAATATTAATAACGATTAACCCAAAAACTTAGTGTAATTGTCAATATAAGTTTCTATAACTTGATGAAATACAGATTTCCATATCTCTTGTTTGAACTAGTTAAAACCAACGCTTTCGAAATCGATACCGTAATAATTGCAAGTATTTCATAAACCATACCTGACACGAACCAACTTACAGCTTATATTAGCCACATTGAGTAATGCAATCTAATTACAATAATCTAAGAAAGTTAGCCGGCGTGTAAAAAGAGTGGCTACTGCATCTATAAGGTTAGAGCTGCTTCCACTCGACTCGCAAACTACGAGTTCGAATCCAGCCACCGAACATATCCGGTTTTTCAGTTGTTATAATGTGAGGATCAATCGCACTATTCGTTGGTAAATGAGTAGCACAAGAGTTGGCGGTGGGGTGGTATTGACTAGTTGCCTTCCTTCTAGTTTATCGCTTCTAAATGAGGGACTGCTGGCGCAGATATCTTTCGAATAGCTGTGCGCGAAATTCAGCAAACAACGTCGGGCTTCAAAAGTAGTCGTAAATGAGGATGGCACAGGAATCGTACTTCTATGCAAAAGTACAAGTTACACGCGGAATTAACGTCACATTAAAGTTTGGCGCCAGCTTCACTATCTTGCCACTGATCTCCTCGCTCAGTTGAGCCTTCTTTCGTAGCTGTTGTTTGTTGTTTATTATTAAGCACAAAGCTACACAAAGGGCTATCTGTGCTCTGCCCACCACGGGTATCGAGACCCGGTTTCTAGCAGTATAAGTCAGCAGACATACCGCTGTGCCACTGGGGGCTTCTTTCGTAGCATTAGAGAAGTAAAACTGAAATAGCTAAAATCACTTTTTCAACTGCTTGTCCACGTAAATTATATCTTAGGGGGGTAGGGAAGGTCCACCTGAGTTCGTCTACCAAAATTTAATCGAAAATGTCTCAACCAGTTCTTCACAACTTGTGACACCAAAAAATAAGCAGATACAGGGGCAACATACATATACATAGAAAGAGAGACAGGTTTAAAAATAAATATTGGAGCATTTGTATGCTTCCATAAATCGCTGGCGCATTTTTTTTCACAATGCGGCATTACGTCAATCCTCATACCCAAAGAAAATATTGCATATATATATATAATTATATATATATTTTAATGCTATTACCTAAAATGGAAAAGAAAACTACCTTTATGCGACTTACATTTTGTTACTAGATTTTTTAACTTTTTATTTGTGATCAATAAAGATTTTACAATGATCACTTTTCCCCTTTTCGTGTACTTGGCTTTCTCCCTGATCCTGATCTCTCAAAGTTTGAAAGCAGTCTCTCCAGTTTATTCTTTTTTTTTTTTCACAATACGCGATCTTACCATTTATTTCATGATCTTTCTAATTTTGTGGTTACAGCCCAAAATCTCATATGAATTTTCATTTTCCAATCTAGAAAAACTCTTTTGAGCAAATTTGGAAGTTCTTCAAGACAGCCTTTTCTCTTCTTTTTTTCTTGATGAGTCGTATGTTAAGGGGTCTTTCGAACACCTTAAGCCCCCAGTGGCACAGCGGTATGTCTGCAGTTATTATAGAAACTTGTTTCTTTTCTCAGCTGTTCTAATCTTAGAACTTGTCTTAAAAACCACGCTGTTTGGTCGTGTTGATAATAAAAATTCTCAAACCATTTTTCCCTTTCTGTTGAGCTAGTCATGGGTAATTTTGTTGAATAATAATTTGTGTGTCATCTTAATCCAAGATTTCACGTCAAAAATATTCCTAGTTACTTTAATTTTCAGGCAGATAAATGTAATTTTTTACACTCGGCATTTTACAGAGATTATATAAATCTTTCACATAAGTTATTGTTGCTGATTTATCAGCACAAATTTTACAATGGGTTACTTGCGCTCTCTCCAAATTTAGCAAATTTTGTAAGTTTGTAAAATTACCGCTGACCCACCTGAGGATTTTGCACATAGGGCAGATCTAAATTTCAAATGAATGTCTCAAACTTTTAATTTTTATAAACAAAAATGTCTATTGCCTGTATAAGTACTAAATATTAAAATAATAAAATAGCAATTCGGTGCTTGGAAACTTAAACTTTATAATTAGAAATTCGTTTATATTTATTAATATTGAACATATGAATCGCATTATCAAGCCATCAAGCATTCATGATCATATTCCGAACAAAGTTCCGTACTGAACCATTTTTTTTTCTTTACCAAAGCTACGCAATCAATTTTATATTTAGACAAAAAATAATGGCTGGAGACGGCTTGAACGGGTAATGAAGAAAAACATTAATATAAGTTTAACATAACAGCAAATGTACAACGTTTCGACAAGGTTTTTATGATGATGACAAAACCTTTTCGAAAAGTTGT